TGAGAACCAGCGCGAGCCACCCCGAGAAACCAATCGTCCAACCTTGAGGGTTCGGGAAGCGGTGGAAGATTCCACTTGAGCCCGACACTCTCGGCGGGCCGGGAAAGCATAGCCATCATTTCCGGGTCTGTATCCGGCACCGCTAACCGCCCAGAGGGCGGCAACGCTGACAGATCTTCATCCCCAGAGAGCCAATGTGCATTGGCTCGTTTAGTTTACACTCCAAGTAGATTGGTCTCTCTAAGCGAGATCCCAATTCGTCGGTCATCCGACGTGACGTCGAGAGTGACCGACTGAAAGGGAACAGTATTTATTGAGTAACAATGAGCAATAAACAGTATTTATTAATCTTTGTTAACATTAACTGTTCACTGCTAGTTTATGTTTGCTAAATGTTGAAATTAACATTTAACTAACATTAATACATGCATTAAAAATATTTTCATTGTTAGTTAATGTGGTTGTTAATGTAGTTAAATGGATAGTTCACTCAAAAATGAAAATTATCCCATGATTTACTCAATCATTCATTCAGAGTTATATTAAAAATAATATAGGTTAATAAAGGCCTTCTAAAACAAAGCGATCTGTTTGTGTAAGAATAATATCCATATTTAAAACTTCATAAACCGTAATCTCTTGAAAAAACTGTCATATGCACGCTCACGAGAGAGTGGCGTTCCAGCGGATGATGTAGGACGTATGCGTAGCGTTAGCTCCAGTGAGAATATGCTAGTCTTGCTAGAACAAAGTTTTGTTTACAGCAAAGAAAAACCAGTCTCCTCTTGGCTTATATCGAAATACTCTTTTTTTTTTCCTTTACAAATCCTTGTTTTGTACTTCTAATTCGTGACCGGTGTTTTGTTTTGCTCTCTCCTCTGCCCTTCCGTGTTCGTCACTTCTCACTGGAGCTAACGCTATGCATACATCCTACATCATCCGCTGGAACGCCACTCTCTTATCATGACAGAACGTGCGTATGACAGTTAGCAGAAGCTAAAGATTACAGTTTATAAAGTTTTAAATATGTATATCTTTCTTACACAAACACATCGCTTCGCTTCAGAAGTCCTTTATTAACCCCCCCAGAGCCGTGTGGGGCACTTTTATGATGGATGGATGAATGCACTTTTTTTAAAGGGGGTTATAAAGGGGGTTATTCTGCGATAACAACCGGCTGGATGTACATTATCCCGCTTATTACACGGCTAATTTTGAATCGAGTTTTATATCTTATTAGCTAAACAAACGCAAAGCTTCCACCAAGAAAAAACAGTTCCTAGCAAGAGTACAGCACCGACTTCAGTTACCCGGATGAGCCTGTGTTATCAGCTTTCACCGGTTGTTACCGAGGGATAACATACCTCGGAATGTCATGACTGACCAATCAGAATCAAGTTTTCCACAGAGCCGTGTAATAAAAATAAATAAAGTTGTACCAGTAGAACAGCCTAAAAGCTGTGAGAAAGAAAAATAGTTCCTAGCCTATATACAAAAGACTTTTTTTAACATAAACTTGAAATATCTCTATCAACTCTCATGCTATATGGGCTTTAGTATACAGCTAGTTGACCGCAAAACTGACAATCAAAATATAACTTTTCACGAACAACAGTAGTTTAACCAACATTTAACATCGTTGTTTACCAGATTCACAATGTGTCACATTACAAACATCCATGCGGCTTTCAATAGACCTCACAGATTCAAAGCTAGATCTGAAACGGCACAACATTCCACAAAGCTCTTCCATTCACACAACACAATGACAGTCCACACTAACATGTTTTAAAAAAAAAAACTCAAACACAGCCTTGAATCGGAGTTTACAGTGTGTGTTATTCTCTGTTGCAGGCCAGGGTCAGGTACGGAACAGAGTAAAAAAGAGAGAAAAGAGAAAGAGAGTGAGAGGGAATAAAGTTTCATCTTGTGTCCGGGCAGATTTAACCCCATGAAGAGCTCTAAGCCTTGTTGGAAATTGTGCCTAAGTGTGTGAAAGCAGTGGAAAGGAGTCACTGAGCCTCAGCACAGACACACACATCTCCTGTTTCACAGCACAAAAACATCACCGCAGCTGCAGCTCACTGGAGGAAATGAAATCCTGTTGAGTAACGAGGCATGACAAACGTCACACCATTGTGTAAATCTGATCTAGTGTGCGATTTGGACAGAATAAAATGCTTCTCTGTGGACTGGATGGGGTAAGATACAAAATTTGACGGATCAGATTTACAGTGGACAATGTGAAACGTAGAAGATGTTTACCCAAAATGCCAATGAGCAAACACTTCATCACTGACCTCAAGTCAAAAGCCGATGCTTTAAACCCATCCAGAATAATTTTCCAGCCTTGTAGACTATCAAAAAGACCTTCACATCAAGGTCTAAAAGACCTTATGTGTTTTAAATGTTTTTATTTATTAAATAAATTTTAAGCATACACTACCATCCAAAATTTGGGGGCATTACGATTTTTTGTAAATTTTTTATAAATTAATATATCTATTCAGCAAGGCTCCATTAAATAAGTTTCCACAAAAATATTAAGCAGCACCAAATCAGCATATTAGAATGGTTTCTGAAGGATCATATGACACTGAAGACTGAAGTAATGATGCTGATTCAGCTTTGGCAACAGGAATAAATCACATTTTAAAATATATTCAAATAGAAAACAGTTATTTAAACAGTAAACTGTAATAATGTTTCACAACATTACTTTTTAAACTGTATTTTTGATTTAAAAAAATGCAGCCTTGGTGAGCATTAAAGATGTCTTTCAAAAAACATAAAAAATCTTACCTTGTATAATTCTATAAAGTTTTGAAGGGCATTAAAACATCATTATCAGGTATTTTTTTTATAGTAGATTGCATGTTATTTAAAAAAAAAAATGTAGTAATCACGATTTGACTATATGAACATTTTGAACTCTGCATTTCAAATTGAAAAAAAAAAAAAGTCATGCACCTTTCAAAAAACTGCTCCTTCCGTTGACGCTACAACTTTGCTGGAAGTTAATATGACAAAAGCAGGTATATGCTCAGCTCCAGAATATTGGTTCAGAAAACTATTCTGCTGAAATAACACCTCATGAAAGTCTGACTTCCTTTAATGAAGCATTCAGAGAGTCACAAAGATCAGCCACCTCTCACAATGTCTCCTCAGGGAGACATAAATGAAATCTCCTCAGGCCCGTGACTATACATGCTTTCAAAATGCTTCACTTAAGCCACCCATTTAAACTAAACTGCTTTATATATTCTATTCAGTAGCATGCTTGTCATGTTGGCATGTCAACAATTCGAAAAAGAATAACACATTTCATTACAGCTCAGTCAATAAATGTATAAATAGCATCAATTCATTGTCTGTTATTTTAAAAATTTGTCTCAGGAATAATAGTCTTGTGTGATTGACGACCTGAAATTGCCTCTCTTCTATACTGTTGTTGAAAATGCCAATTCTTTGAAAGACCAGTGCTGAACCTGAAAAAAATATCCAGGTTCATGAAACAGTAAAAAGATTGTTAAAGTGGGATAAGTTCACATCAGTGCCTTGTAATTACCGAGTGGGACGTTACAAGGTTAATACTAGTCTAGCCAAAGCCATTTGAAAACACACTAGGTTGGCACATGTTCAAGGCTAGTCACCAACCGCCCCTCCAGAAACGCCTCTCACACAGACAAAGCATGTGTCAATAACTTTGTTCAATGAGGATGGTCCAGCCAAAGTATAAGACTGTGGGACGGAGGGGATTTCGTTTCTCTACTATTAAACCCTCACAGACATTCAAAGTCCCTCAAAGCGAAGAAAAAACAAAACAAAACAAACATTATATCACTTATAGACGTTTAAATGTTCTCAAGCTAATACAACGTGACTAAGTAATTTTTTAGGGGTTGCTCTTTCACAGCTCGAAAGACTTAATGGGTTTCTGAGTACTTTTCAAGTATCAACTTTTTATTTTTCTAAAACGGACTCAAATTGTTGACATGCTGTAATAGCATAAAGCTATAAAATGAAGGTAGACTGACAGTTTAGATCATTTGGTTTGTGAAGAATATTGGAGTTATCCTGAAATCTCAGACTTTATCCCAAAGTGTGCTCAAATTTGCTATAAATACATTGTTGAGATCACTATAATATCTGAGATTTCTTTCTATTACTTCTTTCATACTGACAGTTTCTTGTATAAGTGGCACGTACACTACCGTTTAAAAGTTTGGGGTCAATAAGATTTGTTGAAAAAATGCTCATGAGGCTACATTTATTAGATAAAACAAAAAAATCAGTAATATTGTGGAATATAATTACAATTTCAAATAACTGTTTTCTATTTTAATACATTTAAAAATATAATTTATTCCTGTGATGGGAAAGCTTCAGAAAGCATTCTTATATGCTAATTTGGTGCTCAAGAAATTTTTTTTTTATTATTATCAAAGATGAAAATGGTAGTGCCCCTTAATATTTTTGCGGAAACCAACATTTCTTTTCAGGATTTTTTTGATGAATAGAAATTGAATTCAAAACAACATTTAATTGAATTATACAATGTAAAAGTCTTTACTGTCACTTTAATTTAATGCATCCTTGCTAAATAAAAATATAAATTTCTTAACAAAAAAAAAGTTTATGCTAAAACACTGATTCATACATTATATAAAACATATATTGTTATGGATATGGAAACTGAGTACAGACACACTTTGAACCAAACAAAAAAGAAAAATTAAACAATTGGGCATAAATGGGTTGATAAAATAAAATAAAATAAACAAGAGCATATAAAAAACCACACATCTGCTTGGCACTGTCAAGTCACATTATGGCTGAACGTCTGCAAATATTACATGTAAAAAAAAAAAACCAGTAATTAACTCTGATATTAACTGATTTTGTAGTCACGTGTTTGGTTAGTTTGGATGAACTTCGCTGGTGCAGGAAGAAATGTTCTGTTTGTGTGTAACTTTATGGCTCTACATAAAAGAGCAGATACTCACAACCTATGAGCTCCTATGAAGGCTTGAGTTGATCGGTGCATACTGTGGTTGTTGTGTGTTGCAGCGTGTCCTGGTCCCTTGTGTTCTGGCCTGGCTCTGGCTGGGTTTGCTTAATCTGGGGCAGATCCAGAACAGTACTGGAATTCGCTGGAGGGGAAGGGTTGAAAAGTTAAACATATGATCTGGCTCAAGAGTGTGTGACAGAGTGTAAGTGTGTGTTTGACTGACTATTATTCTTTGCAGCCTTCAGCGCATCCCTCCTTCTATGCAGGGCTTTCTCCAGCTCAGACTTCGGTGATGGCGAAGGAGGGCGTGTCCCAGGCAAGGAGGAGGGGCCAGAACGCTTGACTGTGTTCTAAACAGAAAGATTCCGTTACTATACCAACAGCTAGTTTTAAACACATTTGAATAATATTGTAATATGTTTGTTATATTATTTTATATTAAAAACATATATACGTACATATAAAAACACATACATTTTAAGTGATAATATTAATAATTAATAATCAATTATACATAAAATAAAAATAAATGAAGCACTCCTAACCAGGATTCCCTGAAGTTCCTGTATGGCAAGATTTGTCCCTTCTTTCTGCAGGAAAACCCATCAGAGAAACAATTAAGCAGACTATGTAAGTGAGTGTTATTACTGTATATTTAAAATGTTAATTTAGTGTGAATAATAATTTTTAAAATCTCTTATCCTCACCAAGGCTTTTAATATTGTGAAATATTATTACAATTTAAAATAACCGTTTTCTATTTTAATATATTTTAAATGTAATTAATTCCTGTGATTGCAAAGCTGAATTTTCAGTAGCCATTACTCCAGTTTTCAGTGTCACATGATCCTTCAGAAATCATTCTAATATGCTGATTTGGTGCTCATGAAACACTTCTTATTATTTTCAATGTTGAAAACAGTTGTGCTGCTTAATATTTTTGTGGAAATCATTCTACTTTTTAACAAGATTCTTCAAAAGAATAGCATTTATTTGAAATATAAATCTTTTGTGACAAATATTTACTGTCACTTTTGATCGACTGAATGCGTGCGTCCTTGCTAAATAAAAGTACTTATTTCTGATTATATTTGATCGGCTAATAGTATTATTTCTATAGATAGGCTAAAGTAATTTCATTTAATGACACTGATTCACTGAATAAAAGAAAGTTTAAAGTAGTGAGTGTTTTTGTGTTGGTATGAGTTTGTAAGAAATGTTTACTGGTCCTGGTCTGGCTCTGTTGGTTCTCTGGGAAACACGTCGGAGTTGAACTCCTTTTTTGATTCGCTGCATCATTTCATCCACAGCTTGATGTCTGATGTCCTTCTGTGTCAGACACACACACACACACACACACACACACACATAGACAGAGACAAATGGGATTTCTATTAAAACACATTTAAACAGATCAACACAGATGTAGATAAACACATCTGCTGCTTTTCATTAGCAGTCATTTCAGACACAGAATAATATCAGACATACTGACACCACTAAACAGAACTGCAAAGGTTTCTATTTGCGCTGGCATGCACAAATATTATAAAAAAAGAAATCAAAAGAAAGTTTATCTATGATGTTTTTCTTTGTTAAGTGGCCTTGGCAAACACTTTTAGTCATTCTGTCATTAACTGTAACAAAAAATGTGAATATTATCTGCTTACCAGTCTGATGTTTTTCTGACATGATAAAAGTCTCTCTAAACATTCTCTTTTGCAAAGGCTCTAAATTGGCATTGCGTTTCAGAACTAGAGTATAGTCCAATAACAACTTTCTATTCATATGAGATCATAAAAATGTTGTTCAATATTAACAAGAACACTTGAAAGAAAACTACAATTATTTGAGAAAGTATCTAAGCTTTGGCCCGCACTTATACTTATTATAGGAAGTGAAAGAATTTTAGTCAATCCGTTCAAAGATCACCATTCCCTGTAAATATTCAAACACAGTGAAAAAGCAAATCAAGCACTAGTGATAAAAGGAAGGCTAAAGTTCACTGGTCAAATTCTATAAACCTGAACATCATGCCAATAATTGAAAAATTGTCAATATTGTCAATTTTCTTTAATCAAAAATGGATAATGACTTATCCAAACTCTGTACAAAAGTGTTTGTCCTTCAGCAAAAAGCTGCAAGTCTTCCTTCTTTTCCCCCACCTGGTTTTTTAATATAAGGCTGAAAGAAATGGCTAAGGACAAACTTGAACTTGACCCAAGTCTTTCATTTTTACCCACTGCTGTGACGAAAAACAGAAGTTTACTTTGTGTGAAAGTGTACATTAATTACATCTGACTGCATGCACTGCAGATTTTTAATTGACACTTAACACTGATCAAAAAGGTCAACATAAAGGTCTGAAATCTTTCATGTGGCTCAACAGCGAACACAACTGCAGGCCAGCCCTGCTTAAGAAATGAAACAATGAAAAAAAAAAAAACCTTGAACCATAAGCCATCACTGATTACTGTGCTTTTAAATGATCAATCTATGTAATCTTTGCATGTATGAATTATTATAAAGCAAAACTGAGCAGGTTTACAGATTGGAAATGAACTTCGATGGGCCTTCGCTCTTTACCTGGGGTTTTCTCAGAGGAGTCCTTCTCCACTAATGCAATTTCAGTGCTCACATCTTTTTTCTTACGAAGTATAGACAGTAATGAGCTAAAAGATAGAGACAAAAGAAAAATAGAGAATTGACAAGAAATATGTCATTGAAACTTCCCAATGAGCAAACAGCCATTGACCTAATTTTCCATCAGATCTATTTTATTTTTAAGTTGTATTTCCTCATTTTGATGGCTTTCGTCACAAACAGACACTCACCTGAGTGGGTTGCTTGAGGGGGCAGGAAGTGGAGGTGGGGGCGGGGGTGGAGGAGGGGGTCCTGGGGCAGCTGGTGGTGGATTAGAGACCTGCTGGAGCTTCTTTTTCAGTTCCTCCACTACAAAACACACAGAGATACAAACACTGGGTTATTTAGAGTTTTGTTCAAAAGTTTGGGCCAGTAATATTTTTTTAAAGTAATTAAATTAATACTTTTATTTAGCAAAGATGCATTAAAATTAAATTAAATTTACAATGTGACAAAACTTTTCTATTTCAAATAAAATACTGTTCTTTTAAAATTTATATTAATTAAAGAATCCTGAAAAAAATGTATCATGGTTTCCACTAGATATTATGAACAAATGATTTCTGCATTGATTAGAGCAAGATAAGATTTCTTGAATACCAAATCAGCATATTAGATGATTCGAGGATCATGTGACATTGAAGACTGCAGTAATGGCTGCTATAAATTCAGCGTTGCATCACAGGAATAAATTACATTTTAAAACAGTTTGTGATGAGTGAGGTGGGGCCGAGAGCCGTGGGAACGGAGCAAGGCCGGTGGAGTTAATGATAATGAGCGACACCTGCGCTGCTCACCGGTCTCGAGTCCCACGGAGGACCTCCGGAAGGATAAACAGAGGAGTAACGACAGTGAAGGACAAGAGAGGACCAGGCCTGGGGCAAGTTCAAGCTCAAACCGGTGCGCAAAGAATGGCCTTCTCAGCTGCCATAGTTGCAACTCTTGCGTCATCAGAACAGTGTGTTCAACACACCACCGTTTCCGTTTAAAAAACGTTTTGCACCGTTTTGTCGGGGCTGAACACAGCCCTGGATTTTATGTTGTTTTGTTTTATGCGGCAGTCGTCCGTGAGGGACTGACGCTTTTACTTTCGTTTTGTGCTTGTTTATTTGTTTATTAAAGTTTTATAATTAAATGTTTGCCGGTTCCCGGTTACACAGTTATTTTAAATTGCAATAATATTTCACAATACTACTGTTTTTACTGTATTTCTGATCAAATAAATGCAGCTGTGGTGAGCATAAGAGACTTCTAAAAACAGACAACAAAAAACTTTAAAAACTACCTGTGAATCTGAGGTCTTTGGCCTCGGTTTCAGCGTTCGTGTGTTTGTGCTGCCACTCTTTTCTCTCCTCCTCCAGCAGTTCAGTCTGTCTCTGTAATGCTGTTAGCTGCTTCTTTAATTCACTGCTGTGTATCTGCTCTTCAAGAGCCTTCACCTGAAGTCCACCAACATACACAGCATAACAATCAAAGACAAAAACACGGGGTGTAAAAATGGAATGTTATCTTTGAACTTTAAGGTATACTTCACTTATAAAATGAAAACTCTGTCATCAAATGAAATGGTGAACAGGTCTCCTTTACCACTTTCACTATACAGAAAATAGCTGCTGGGACACTGGACCAGTGCGTTTTACTGTCATTGAGATACTATAATAGTTTGTATTAATATATTTTCTGTTTTTATTTCAATTTTGGATGAAGTTTTGATAATATTGTTGTGCGTTTTTATTCGTTTTTTAATTTGTCTATATAGGTTTTATTATTATTATTATTATTTAGTTTAGTTTGCCTTAGCAAACTAAGTTTTTTTATATATTTAACATTATTTCAGTTAAAGTTTATTTTATTTCAAGTAACAGATTTTTTCTGTTGTAGTTTTAGTTAACTATAAGAACCCTGCACTGTACATGCTAAATATCTCCTTGTGAGAAAGTCTCGCCTTTTCATTGGAATGACATAAGGCATAATGACAAAATGATGACTTTTTTGGGTGAACCATCCCTTTAAGGCAGTACAACATAGTGACTGTGCTTCCATCCCTCACAGCCTCATTATTGTTCTTGACAAATTAAAAATGTCACACACTCTGACTAAAATCTATAGTGATGACAGACAAATACCACAAAGTGAGTCAAGTTGCATTTCCCTTGATCCTTTAATGATTGTTTAATTGCAGAATACTGCTCAGTTTTTCTTCTTTTAGAAACGCAAGTAATGAACTGCATGGGTGTGTGTTTTGGTGTGACACTGGGAGGTTGGCATGGTTGATTTGATTGTTTTTTCTGTTATTATTTTAATGACATTTGGTCGGCAGGACACTATGACCTAAAGGACAGTGTGGGGATTAATGTGTGTGTCTGTGTGTGTTACCTGCTGTTGATGCTCCAGTTTCTGTGTCTCTAAAGTGTGTGTCAGTGTGTTGATCTCTGCCAGAGCTTTCTGCAGAGCTTCTGTTGGAGACACACTCTGGATCAACATCTGGCTTTGTCTTTTCAGCTTCTTCTGCTCTACTAGCATCTTCATTAACCCACAGAGAGATAAACACACATTCACAAATTCACACCATTTAACATATTCCAGGAATCCATAAATATTCAGTCTTATACATTTCAATAAAATAATTTTGAAATCAAATCTAACTGAGCTTTCACCTCATGTGCAAACTTCTCTGCTTCAGAACGCAGGTCCCTCTCAAGCTTTAGATCCTCCCGCAAGGCCTCAAACTCATCTAGAGCATACTGAGAAACTACACACATTTACAGGAAAGCCTTTGAGCCCCGATGTCCATGGCAAACAATTCAAACACACAATATTGTATATTGTATCATTTAAATTCCTATTGAACTTCTGATAAATGACATCCACTACAGGGCAATTTAAATCAGCATGGTCTAGTTAAGTCAAGTTACTTTTACTTCTATAGTGCTTTATACAATACAGAATTGTATCAAAGCAGCTTCACAGTGATAAACAAGAAAATAGCAGAATCAATTATGGAAACTCAACCATGGAGACAGTTTAGATTGTGCTGTAAAGCAGAAGACAATAGTGTCTGGTGATGCAAAACGATAAAAATTGTTTTTATTTTTTTATTTTTTTTACAATTTTTTTTAATTTTTATAAATAGACATTTCAAAAGAACAACTTTTTTTTTAAATAGAAATCTTTTGTAACATTATAAATGTCTTTACTTTTACTTTTGATCAATTTAATTCATTCTTGCTGAATAAAAGTAGTAACTTCTTTAAAAAAAACATAATACCTCCAAACTTTTGAATGGCAACATAAATTCAAACTAGTCAAGCACCAAGAACCTCTAGAATATTTACTATTATCTTCTATTGTAGGCAACAGATGTGCAACTCTCTCAAATACATCATACTGTATTAACAAAAGAAATATAATTCTTAATTTAAAGTGAAAAGATTATGACATTATGATTTTTTAAATTCAATTTAATTCATGCATCAAATTATTAAACAACTCAAAACACACACACACACACACACACACACACACACACACACACACACACACACACAAACGGAAAAAGTAGCACAGAAAAATGATGCATTTTGATTTTTGTGATATTTCCATGATCTGTTTGAGTCTATAATCAAGCTAAAGTTGTCAGAAATCACTCAGATCTGCCTAAAAATACTGTATGACTTATTGTTATTGTAATAATTATAGAAGAAACACAGTATAGGCTTTGAATGAAGCAATGAAGATGTAGCAGTGCGAGTACAGCAGTTAGGATGAATGAATGTCTGGACTGGAAAGCAGTAGAGAGAGAGAGAGAGATTGATGTAAGGGGATACAGTAGAGAACAGGAGCACAACTGACCTCTGTTGTATTTTCCCAAGAGCTTCTTTTGTTGGAATGTTTCAGCTATTAAAACAGTATTATCATGTTTCTCTTTCAGGAGCTTAGGAAGAAAGGGAGAGCGAGGGCTTCATTTATTTGGGCATTAAACTGGTTCATCTGAAACACTGAACAACATGACACAAAGACAGACCCCTCTTTTCTGTTTGGTTGACATTATTCTGAGTGAAAGCCACTGTGAAACATGGCAATGGTTAACATTAAAGACTTTAAGGAGGTGGATCAAAACATTTATTGTTCTGTCATGATTTTTACTTTTCATTAAAAAAAATGATTTTAGAGTGTATATTGTAGATCTTTTTAAAATGATGCACGGTAGATATTTCTTAAAGATGAGTAGTAAGTTAATGCAGTAAAACCTAAGATTAAATGCCTTTCTCACATACTTCCTGTCTAGTTTGGCAGAGCTGCTCTCTTGTCATCTCCAGATCGATCGTAATCTGCTTCTTCTCAGCCAGGATCACCTCTAGTTTATCCCTCAGCTCTACCACAAATAAAAGTATTAATTAAAAAAAAAAAACTGCAGTACAAAGCAGCCTGAATTCTCAAGTGTCTCGTAACCAAACATGAATTGAGAACCGCATCAGAGGGCAAAATGACTTACATTTTTAGTCTGTTTCTCACAAAAAGCATGTGTTGTATGAACTAATGTTTTTTTTTATGTCCTTTTCAGTGTTCGAAAAAAGCCTGTGGTCACTTTCAACTGTTGCTTAACTGTTGTTTCAATATAAAGATCTTTAAAAAATTGCATTCAATATTTAAAACACATAAATAAATAAATGAATAAATAAATAAAAACATTTAATATAACACTGAAAAACAAAAGCCTGTTACTTTGAACTGTTGTTGTATGTGTAAAGTGTAAACATATTTTAAATTTGATATCTAAAACAAACAAACAAACAAACAAATACATAAATTAAATTTTCTGTATTTTCTGTATTCAAATATTAATTATCTAATAGCCTCAGAAACTACACACTTAATGGCAAAGGTGTCTAATTTCTGAACTACTAGATAAAGACTGCTTTCACACAAGTTTGTCAGCCATTGTTTGACTAAACAGGTAGTCAAGCCTCAATTTCATGCCAGAGCCTATGTTGTTATGACAGGCCCAGTCAATCCACTTGAACAAAAAAACCCTGCAATTCTTTCGCTGCCTGTGCCATAGAAATGATACACTTCACCTTTAAAATTAATCTGTAGATGCAAAAAGTATAAAGTGATAAAAATATTTTATTAAGCAATACATTGTGGGACAGTGCACTGACCCACCTGCAATGACAATCTGACAGTGGGAGGAGCTACATACACCTGACTCCTCCTCCTGTGGATCTTCATCATCATCATCATCATCCAGACTGATCTCAGCGACGACATCGGCACCAAGGTGGGACATATAGAGCATACTTTTCCTCTTCAGAGAACGGTTCTGTCTGTTCAACTGAGCGAAAGATATACATCTGTGCTTTTGAAAGATACTTTTATCCAAAGCGGCTTAGAGTGCATTTATTGTATACATTTGAACTCATAATCTGAGTGCTGCTAGCATCACACACCAATTGAGCCAAACTATCAAAACATGAATTTTCTTGGTCTCTGTGAAGAGAATGAAAATCCAGTGTCTATTGACAATGCAAAACAAGTAAATCTAGTGAGGCCAATGTAGTCAAATTTATAGGAATAATCAGAGATCAAAATGACACCGGTAACACCACAAATGATATAAAACCCAAGCCGGTGATTTTCTGCATTTGCCACAGAGCGAAAAGATATGAGAAATCAAATCAGCAGCATGTAGACAGACCAGCCCACTGGAACCCCAGTGGGCGCCCATGCAATTCCCCTCAATCACACAGCCAAACACACACAGCACGAACACTCTGAAAAAGAGCAATAATCAAGGGCAAAATAATAGACATTTCATTACACGTATGCAGGAGCAGCAGCAGCAGACACTCCTGTTTTCATAAATAATTACAGCATTTCTATCATGTGCGGTCACGGACCCCCTCCCTCGCCACATGCACATACCTGCATCCGAGAAATTTTACCTTTTTGAACATCCAATTAAAGTAATTTTAAAGTAATTTTAAAGACAAAATCTTGTCTTCCCTGCCACTCCATTGTAAGTCGCTTTGGATAAAAGCGTCTGCAAAATGACTAAATGTAAATGTAAATGTAAATGTAATTTAAGACTGGTCATTCACACTTCAATTAGGGAGGCCACTTAATGGAAACTCAGAGAGCCAATGGGGGTGGAGGTATGTAAATTAGTCACAGATGACATTCCGGCCAGAGAGAGAAAAAGAGTGGGAGGCAGGAATAAAAAAAAATGCCCCCTCTTTAACGGGCCTTTATTAATGACATCCAAGTGAGGACACACAGCACGTCAATCCATTTCCTGATGCCATCCTTCCTGCTGAATGCATCTTTTAAAAACGCAATCAACAACACATAATATGGGGATAAACACGCAGACACACACGCATACACGCTCGCTCTGCGATAATCATCTGGCATTGATGAGAGCGCAGCGGTGAAATTACACAGTGGCAGAAATCAGATGTGCGTTCCGAGGTGGCCAGGCCACTCATCTCGTCTGATCACACATCAAAACAAAATGTCATGTGTTTGGATTGCACTTTGATTTGACTGCCACCACCCGTGAACCCTCATCCATTACTGCTTTTTAATTCAAAATGTTCCAGAGTTTAAGAAATTGATTATGATTTTTTTTCCTCTTCTTTTTTTTTGTTTGCCTCAGGGTCCCTTGGCAGACAAAATTACAGCCATCATACACAATAAATCATACCGAAATGTAGAGACTATTTGAGACAATTCCACTCACCATCCTCCAATCACACCTACCAAAATTTTTGGACTAATTTACATGTAAATTTGGCATGAGTCAATGCTGTAATTTTATCCTTCACACTTTCAAAAAAGAGGTGAGATTTATTTTTCATCCTGCGGGCTGAGATGCAAAACAAGTCAAAGTCTTCCACACTTGTTTTATTAATATTTGCAAGATTAGTTCACATAAATACAGTGACAAGGCAATATCAATATTTCATGTCTTGTTATTTAATTATTTACTGGGTAAGTAGCCAGAAAATAAGTGGAATAATGTATAGTCTGCTGCTCATTATGGCAACATATACCTAAGAATGCACCGATATTACAGATATAATCACTATTTTCATGGCAGACAAATGACCAGCATTAAAATGTAATACAGTTTTATATAAATAGATTAATAGAAACACTAAAAACTAAAATCGTTTTAAATTCTGCAAGTTATCCAATTTAGGCCAATAATGTACACTATGAAAATGGGTATTCTGTTTGAGATATGCTAATGATTACATTTAATAGTGTTATTAAATATTTAGGGTTTTAAAAGATTAATGTTAAGTTAAAATTAGATGATGACAAATGTAAAAACAGAGAAAATGAGCAATATCTTAAATATATATTATAGCAATATATTTTAAATAACCAATATCATCCAATACCAATATTTAAAAAAAAAAATCATATTATCAGATACATGATATGATAATATACTGTGCATTTCTAAATAGGAATTTCTCTAATTTTTGCGATAATGACCGGCTGACTTTATGTATTATATAAAACGTTTGAAGGCAAAATGTCCACAGAACTGTTTTCAACCTTGGTGATCTTGAGCACCACATCAGCATATTAGAATGATTTCTGAAGGATCATGTGACACTGAAGACTGGAATAAAAAAGACAATCAAAGGCCATCACAGGAATAAATTATATTTTAAAATATATTAAAATAGAAACTTTTTTTTTTTAATTGTAATAATACTTCTGCATTTTTGATCAAATAAATGCAGTCTTGGTGAGCATAGGAGACTTCTTTCAAAAACATTAAAATCAATGATTTTAATGCAAGAAATCTGGACTTGAGAGATCTAATGCAATGTGTTTCCTAACCTTATAATAAAGAAATGAGATAAATCGACTATGTGTTGAAAGAGCAACTAGTGACAAACAAAACTGAATCCTCAAACAGTCATGTGTCCTGACAGATGGAAGATGAGCAAACCTGTGGCGGCCGAAACCTACAGGACTCTCCTGCTGTTAGTCACACAGACGTGAGGGGCTCGTTGCAGGGGTGTTCACAGAGCAGCCAGGACAAAGGCACCAGTTTTCATGTGCAATGGCCATCGGTGAACACAAAACAAGCTGGGCTGTGCATTTAAGGATGTCAGGAAACCATTGATTGGTTAAATCGAGCTTTTATCCAACACATAATGCTGAGGCACAAAACGGCCCAGCTGCAGGTCTATTTCCTCCGTACAAATTAAATGCTCTGTGGTCTTCCTCAACTGCAGCTCTCAGAAACATCTGCGATGGCTTCACATACTTCAAGGAAAAACATTTAGCTATACTTCAAGAGAAATCTATAGCAAGTGATTCTCAAGAAATGGCAGGACAGAAATCCTGTCATCCACGCTAAATAACCATAAGTCAGCAGGGTTTTGTCACCTCAGTCTATTTTGTCAAGTACAAAAAAACAACAACAAATGTCCGTTTTCATTTGCACAGTGAAATGTCTTCTTTTTCTGGACACAGAACCACATCAAATGAAAGCTAGCCTGCTTCTAAAACACAGGACAACAGTGTCCTTTTTCAATCTAAAGACTATTTTCTCCTGGTCTTTATCTCTTTTATCTGTCTTTATTCCTTTCACTGCTACTGTTCTCTCATTTCTCTCTCTGTGTGTGGTGATCAGCGCTCATCACCGACAGGCAGCAGAAGAAAGTTGATTCATGCATCAGAGAGACGGCAATACAGCCGGTAATCGTTCCTGATAATTTGCCTCACACCTGGGCTTTTAGAGATCCATTTACCTGCTGAGCGCTCAGTGTAGATGCCACTTCACTTTTCAGACCCGACTGAGCCTGAACGCAGAACTGAAACCCAACTAAACAATGTGCTGAGCTGGGACTGATGGCAAATTGAATACTTCTGTAATGAGTGGGTCCAGGGAGGTGGGCTGGCTGTGGTCAACACCAAGATGCAGGTATACGGGAGGGAGACAGTCTTTAAGATTGACACCAGCATGAACTGAATGGATTGACTGCACATATGGAGTACAATTGTGTGTACTTTGCTCAGGATGGAGGAGGAAATAAATGGATGTAAGGGTGGTTGGATAGAGGCATGATGGATCCCAATTTATTTACCATGAAAGCATAAGCGAAAACATGGGTGTATGATTCTGGATGATTATGATTATTGTTTCTGAGAAGAGTAGAGCAGAATTGAATGAAACAGGAGAAAACAAAGGATATTAGAACAGAACATAAAGTAACAAGACCAAATTAAAAAGATAAAAAGATAATAAAGGGAAACAGAATCAAATCAAACAAAAAAGAACAGAATGAAATGAATCAGAATAGAACAGAAGAGAGCAGACCAGAAAAAAAATTAAAAAACAGAACAAAGGAGAATCAAATGAAACGAAACAAAAGAGAATCAAATGAAACAAAAGAGAACAAAATCAAATGAATCAGAACAGAACAGAAGGAATCAAATAAAAAAAGAATGAAAGAGAATCACATGAAAAAGGGCACAAGAGAATTAAATTAAACAGAATCAAATCACAAAAAAAGAACAGAATAAAATAAATAAGTACAGAACACAACAGAGGAGAGCAGAGCAGAAGAAAATCAAATTAATCAGAACAGAACAAAGGAGAATCAAATGAATAAGAACAGAACAAAATCAAATGAAACAGAACAAAAGATAACCACATCAAACAGAGCACAAGAGAATTAAATGAAACAGAATCAAACAAAAAATAACAATCAAATAAATAAGAACAGAACAGAATCAAATGAATCAGAGCAAAACAGAGGAGAACAGAACAAATTCTAGTTAAACAGAACAAAACAAAACAAAACAGAACATAATCAAATGACACAGAACAGAATTAAATGAAACCGAACAGAATCAAATGAACCAGAACAGGATCGACTGAATCAAAACAGAACAGAGGAGAATCAAATGAAACCGAACATAACAGAATGAAATAAAACAACACAAAAATAAAACACAGAACAAAACAGAATAATATACATCAGAACAGATGAGAATCAAATGAAACAGAACAGAAGAAATTTAAATAAAACAGAATGAAATCAAATGAAAACAAACATAAACATAGCTGCAAGCAGCGATACGTGGCTGTAGCGCAGTGCAGACCAGGAAGAGCAAAAACAGGAGAAACTGAATGAACATGAAAAACAACCATTTGAATTATAGGTGAGATGAAATCAGGATGAACAGAAGTTCAAATGAAAATGAACACAGCATGAATAAGAAATCAAAACGACACAACATTACACACAGATGCCGAAGTTCAGAAGTTCAACTGAGAATCAATTCAAAATAATGAATTTGTACATAAATGCACTGCGTGTTGTATTTAATACTTTCAGGTGAGATCATACTTGGAAAATCACAATGCTTGCAACAGAAGCAAAAACTGCATAAATTCTTGCCATAGTACCTCTTGCGGTCTGACGTTCTCAGACAAGGTCACAACATCATTCAATTACTCTGTCCAGACCACTGAAACTTAGAACAGCTCTTTATCAGTTATCATGCTCTCCAGACGCCTTTTGAGCAAGTCGACTAGGGACATCTGGTGTATGAAGCAGCTGAAACTACAGTTTTTATGGTGGACACAACACATGCTAACACAACGCTAGCAAGGATTTGAACTGTGTTTTGGATAGTTGATGTCACTGTAGTCATACAAGTGTTCTGTAGTGGGACATGCTGTCCATCTAAAATTACTTGAAACATCTTTGTAATTCTTATATAATTATAATACATTTCGTTTTATTTCATATTTTAAATTTAAAGATTAATATGGACATGGAATATCTGTATCCATTGATCACAATGCCTGCAACAGAAGCAACTTCTGCATCAATTCTTGCCACAGTACCTCTTGCGGTCTAGGCATGTGTTACACTGCGTTTCAAACCCACGACATGAAGAAATCAGGATCTGTGGTGTAACACATTGAGCTAGTCACCCATGCACATTCAGCAGGATGCTGAGGAGAGGTTTCAGTGTGAGAATGAGCTCACAAAAAAAAGTTCCTTAGCACAATAACCAGATTAGCAAAGCTATGGGCGGCACATTAATGGAAAATGACAAATGAAATATTGTCAGAATCGGCATAACCCAGGGAATGAAGGGATATAAAAACAACAAAATTTGGACAGTGTTTTCAAAACTTATAAGCATTTTTGCAAAAATCTTTATATCTCTGGAATGCTAGGTGGCGCTGTGTTCAAACTTCTCAGATAACTCCGGGACATCCTGTCAATGAAATCTACCAATTTTTGTGCAGGTGTGTCAAATGGTTTAAAATATATCGCAATTTATGACAAATTTCAAAATGGTGGACAGAATGGTTCTTTTGATTTTCTGACTAACAGTTCATAAGTTATTAGCCAAAATAGCCATTTTTGTATCTCATGATCCATAGGTGGCACTGTTGTCATTTATGTAATTTGGCATGTACCCTCAGATCATGGTGTTGATGAAGCATACCAATTTTTGTTTCGATTGATCAAAGTTTGTCCAAGATACAGCCTCTGAACCAATTTCGGGTCGACCTTGTTAAGTTCACAACATCATAACTTTTTTTTCACCACTAGTTCATGAAATTCTGTTCAGTCATTTCAATGCGGCTCGGTCCAAAGATCATATCTGCCAATTTTCGTAAGAATTGGACAAATTTTGAAGGAGTAGCAGTGAAAAAAAGAAATAATGCACTTTTCAAAATGGCCACTACTGTAATGGGTGGAGTCTTAATGTAAGCTATTGAATGTGATCAGCATGAAGAGAGTAATCAGCTGTACTAAGTTTCCTTGTTCTAGAGGGTTCAAAAGTTATAAACATTTGAAAAGTGAATTTTTGAACTCGTGGTGGCACTATAGAGTTGGTCCTAGAGACCCCAAAGTTGGTCAGATTCATGACCATCACTACAAGTGTGCCAATTTTCATCATTTTCCTATGTTCCCTTCACAGGGCTGCCACTGACTCCTATTCGGGTAGAACAATTATAATAATAAGAAAACATACAGATAAAATAGTGGCTACAGCCCCTTCGGGGCTTGGCCCCTAATTAAATAAATTAGAACAGAACAGAATCAAATGAATCAGAACAGAACAAAGGAGAATCAAATTAACCAGAGCACAACAGAATCAAATGAAACAGAACAGAAATAAGGGGAATCAAATGAAACAGAATAAAACAGAACAGCCAATCATAACTTTATTGTAAAACCTCACCTTTGAGACCAAAGCTTCTACACTTTCTCTGCATGTCTTCTCGATCTCTAGACTCTCCTGAATGTTGTTCACCTCCTCGATCACCCTGTGTGACACTGAAGACAAGCAATATGTCAAATATTTTGATGTTTTCTTCAACACAAACACACTACAGTTGTCACTACAGGCAAGCACACAACTAATTTTCTGTCATGCACACACTGGAGCAGTCAGCACAGTACATCATGACGTTCACAGACAAGGTTACAACATCATACAATTACTCTGTCCAGACCACTGAAACTTAGAACAGCTCTTTATCAGTTATCATGCTCTCCAGACGCCTTTTGAGCAAGTCGACTAGGGACATCTGGTGTATGAAGAAGCTGAAACTACAGTGGAAACTATAGTGGACACACACAACACATGCTAACACAACACTAGTAAGGATTTGAAATGTGTTTTGAATAGTTGATGTCACTGTAGTCATACAAGTGTTCTGTAGTGGGACATGCTGTCCTTCATCTAAAATTACTTGAAACATCTTTGTAATTCTTATATAATTATAATACATTTCGTTTTATTTTATAATTGTAATTTAAAGATTAATATGGACATGGAATATTTGTATCCATTGATCTATCACTCTGTTGGACTATTTAAGTGAACAGTCTTCCAACATCATCTGCATATTTGAACCATTTCAACACACATACTACTTTTTAAAAGAAGTTAATACATTTGCTCAGAAGGAATGCATTAAATTGATCAAAAGTGACAGTAAAGACATTTTGTAATGTTACAAAAGTTTTCTATTTCGAATAAATGTTTTTTTTATTTTATACTTTCTAATCATCAGAGAATCCTGAAAAAAAATGTATCACGGTAATATATCGGTATGGTAATGTGAAATGTATCATAATATTAAGCAGAAGAAGCAGCAGATGTTTCCTGAGCATATTAGAATGCTTTCTGAAGGATCATGGAGTAATGACTGCTGAATTTGAGCTTTGCCATCAAAGAAATAAATAAAATTTTAATATATATCAAAACAGAAAATAGCTATTTTTACTGTATTTCTGATCAAATAAATGCAGCTGTGAAGAGCAAAAGAGACTTCTTTCAAAAACATTAAAAACTGACCCCAAACTAAGCATATACACAAACATCTTGATGCTGAAAAAGGTTAATTTGTCCTTCTTTCAGATTTTCTTTTCCAATCAATAACCTCTCCAGCTTGGCCTTCACACAACTGTTGTCTATTCTATAGATCTGTTTGAATAAGTTCAGTGCTTCCCTTCATACTGATCCTATAGGGACGGGAGACTGAGATCAGGGCAGGCCCGTCAAGCCAAGGCTCATTGTTTGGGTTAATCAAATTATCTGCTGTGTTTCCTTGCATTCACCAGCAAATCCAAGAACCTTCAAAGATCCACAGTGTCTCTAAAGAGTCTCTCTTTGAGATATATTTCTAAATGCTTAAGATTAGTCTGTCATGCACAAAAAGATTCTCAAAACAAACTGATTTGAGACTACATTTACAACATTCAAATTCAAAACGCAGTCAGTCTGATGACTTCCAAAGAGGCGGAAGATGGTGAGATGGAAGTGGCAGATGCTCTTAACACCTGGAGCTCTTACCTTATTTGTGTCCGTAATCACCAGAGACTGGCCACGGACCAGCTCACAGCCTCTTAACTAATTACACATTGTGGTTGAGAGGCAAAAACAGGAATTAGCACCATCACGGTCAGCGGCTGCCTCCCAATGACACCTAATTAAAACTTGATGAACGCCCGTGTCTGCGATATCCAAGTTCCCGCTGTAAGCCTTTCGCTGTCACTCATTAAACAGTATTTAGCTGCCAGTTGGTCCCCCTCCACCCCATCTTTCATCTCTCTCTCACTGGTAGTACTAGCACTAAGTGACAGGTTAATTGTAATAGCTGCTACACATAAACCGGGCTAAGTGTGAGGCAGTTGCGGAGCAGGAGGGGGACGAGGGGGGGACTTCAGACGTCAGGCATGGCAGCTTTAATTGTAAATTTTGGCCTCGCCATCAACATTACATCTTCAAATCTCTTTCTTCTCATGCCGTTCCTCTGTTCA